AAAAATATTAGCAAACAAATACATATACAAATGATTTAAAAATATAAGTATAAAAATAATATAAAAATTAAAAATTAAACTGGCAAATTTTTGTATGCCAAAATTTCTACAAACTCCAAACGGGTTATAACTTGATCTTTATACTGACGCATAATTTCATGAATATAATTTTCCTTTTCCACAGTCATCCGTCGTTTATGTGTTTGATTTGAGCTACGCATTTTGATGTAAATGTCAGCTTGTACATTTTTTAAAACTTCTAAAAATTRAAAAATATTTGGATACGAAGAGTAGAACATACTATTGAGTTTCGAATGAAACGCTTCACAAGCATTAGTAGTACGCATTAAACTGTTAGAAAACTCCGCCCATATTGATGGTGGAAATTTACTGCTTTGTAAAATGTAATTTTTTTCAAAAAAGTCACAAAAAGCATTTAATTGCTGATTATTTGGTTTTATAGTCATAAGATCTTCAGAAAAACATTTTTGAACTTCCTCAGGTTCTAAAAAGGATAATCCAAAGCATACTTTTAAAAAATGGCCAATTTCTGATTTCTTTTTAAAGTTCTTACTTAGGCCAAGTGATTGGATTTTTCTCCACATAGTCTGGCCCAAGTGAAAGCGACAGCCTTTACGAACTACTTCGGGAAAAATCTTTGAAATTGCCAAGTGAATAGCTTGTTCAAAATCAGCGTAAATTATACGTGGTGTAAAAGTCAAATTTAATTCACCAATTTTATCTAACAAATCAGAAAATGCATCTTGATATATTTTTGTAGTTTTACCCGTTAATAAAAAAAATACTAGCGGGGTATAATTTGAATTTTTAGCTCCATGAATAATAAATAATTGATAAAATGGTTTCGGACAACTTTTAAACGTACCATCAATATATAAAACGGCACATTCAGTTAAATATTTCAAATTAGTTTGTGTTGAAAATGCTATTATATTTTTTTCTGAATTATTAATTAACAAAAATAATTCATCTCGATTTGTTTTGATTTCGCCTAAATTTGTTAGAGCCAAATGTAGTTCATCTAAATTTGTAGGCAACTTTGGAATCATACTTGAACGTGYATAGTGAATATTTTTTCTAATACGCATCGTGTCTGTAGTAGTTAGACTACTTATATCTCCTTCACGTAATTCTCGGTGTAAAATCTTACATGGCTTTTCAAACGGATCCTCCAAAGCTTTACGTTTCAATTTATTACTTACTTTTTGCCGAGTTAAAATATTGACATCGTCTTTTTCGTGGTCGTGATTTAAAACACTAAAAATAATTTCACTATTTTCATT